GAGAGAGAGAGAGAGAGAGAGAGAGAGAGAGAGAGAGAGAGAGAGAGAGAGTTGTGACTTTGGGACTTGACGACATTGGGTCCAGACTCGACATTGGGATTCAGATATTTGACGAGGGATTATTTGGGGCCTGTGCCGAAGACTTGGTGTTGACGACATTCCCATCTTCCCCTCTTCTTCATCCAACCCCCCTCTTCCTCGTCTGTGTATGGTTGGGGACTGGCGCATTCTTCCTGTGTGAGCGCCAGGCCCCTTCACACCATGGAATGATGATGATGTATGTTTGGGGCTGCATTGCAACATTGATTGTTCGGATCCTTGGTATCTATGTCTTCCGCTATGCTATCTTGTACTTTGTGAGAGAGGTCGGTTCTTGTTCTGGTCTGCACCGTTCCGGTATGCGATAGCTACCCATACCGATAGTGGTAGCAGCGGCCATAGCCGCCATAGTTGTAGAAGTGTGTGAGCGTGCGTGTGTACAGAATGATGCGTGTGGGATATCCAGGGTGATCCTGAGTTGAGTGCGTGTGAACAGTGGAGTTGGGTGAGTGACGAACAGAGACTTGTACAGGGGCTGATGCGCCATAGCCAATTGAAGCGAGCTTCTGTCTGACTGTGTTCGGAGCCACCATATCTCTGAGTTTTGAGTGGGCGTTTGTCGCCAGTTTGCTGTGTTTCTGTTTACATGCATGCGAAGTGTGGATGAAAGCGAGTCTGATTGCACCTCCTTTATTCAACATTTATTATTTTTGCTGGGTTTCATCTGGACTATTTTTGTCTGTTTCAGATGTGTCTGTTCGGACTTTCCTTTTGTCCGAACAGGCAGATGCCTGGGGATTTCAGTTTCGGCCATCGTAGGCCAGGTTCAGATTTGTCCGTATGTGAGGCTGGACCAGGCATTCGTCTGTTTGTGCCTGGCCCAGTCCTCAGGATCCTGCTGCATCAGCAGGATTGCCTGGACGTCCGGTAGGGACCCAGGCAGGCCGTTTTTGGCCAGGATCGTAGGACCAGGACTTGGGCCTGCGATCAGGACCATCGATCGGACATCAGACACGACGGTCCTGATTGCAGACCGAGGACTGCTCAGCCAGGCCCAGAAGTATATAGCTGGGCCAGTCCTCCATTTTGAGGACACATTCAGGCTGGAGCCTCAGGTGGGCGTCACGCTGCTTGAGCAGCGCCAGTCTGGGGAGAGCTGCAATAGAGCAGCGTTAGAGGAGTAGAGGAGTAGGCTGGAGTGGAGAGGTTGGTGGAGGCCACGTCCACGAGGGAGATAGAGACTTACCGGGGCGCCATAGCTGGGACTTCATATCCGTCATGGACCGGCCTTCAGCAGCGACCTGCATCGCGAATCATCACCTTCGCTGGTATTCGTGGCATCATTATCAGGAGCATGTGAGAGAGGAGAGTTCTTCATCTTCTTCTTCTGATTCTTCTCCACCCCTCCATAGCCCCTATTCTTCTTCTCTTCTCCTCCTCTCTGTTTTCTTCTTCTTCTCCAGAGAGAGAGAGAGAGAGAGAGAGAGAGAGAGAGAGAGAGAGAGAGAGAGAGAGAGATTTCAGGCAGTGACTATTTCGGGCCTATGAGCGCCCAGGATCTGATTCGACATTTTGAAGGACAGACACTGGCTGGACATTTGACGGGGAAACAATTTTTTGGACGGCTACGAGTTCTACTATTGTCCTCTCTCCCCTCTCCACCTTCGTCTCTCTCCTCCTCCTTCATCATCCGTGGTTTCTTCCCCATGTGTGTGCGCAAGGAGGGACCTTTTTTCCGTGTATGATGTCCCTCCTTGCTGTGTGATGTGTGTGATGATGATTGTGTGAGTTGAGTCTGGATCTGATGTGTCAAGTCATATCTTTGAGTCTTCCACTGCGCTACATTGCATTATCTCATTTTGTTTCGAGTCCTGTTCATCACACTGGTCTTCCTTGGACATCTGCACCACTCATCTTCAGATGAGCATGCATCAACCTGTTAAGAAGAAGAAGAAGAAGAAGAAGAAGAAGAAGAAGAAGAAGAAGAAGAAGAAGAAGAAGAAGAAGAAAGAAGTCCAGAGAGGAGCGGGGAAACAATAGTGGGAGAGCTGCACAGGGCAAATGAGACATGAAAACAGAAAACCGGAGAATCACACATTCCTGCCCTGTCACAACACCACCTTACTCCCCCAAGCATAACTCCCTATTATCGTCTGTATTTGGCCACAATAGAGCCTGTAAACACTCCTGATGTACCGTGGAACAAGGGAGGCCTGCAAACTATGGGTTCGGAAAATAAAATTGACTTACAATGATAGACAATGGAGCCGCACATGAAATAACGCTCAGCACGTCACCACAGATCCCATATGCCACCTCCTCCTCCTCAGCAGGCACGGACACACGCACCAAAAGAACGAGCAAGGCAAATATCACCGTAACTCCTAACAGCATCTTATACACATGTGTCTGCATCAATCACAACACATGCCACTGTTGACAGTGTTAGTTTGAACTATATGACCCAAAAATTGTCAAAACAACACCAAAGCAGTAACGAGACCTGGCACATACCAGAACCCTAAAAGACCTTGACAAGCCCTCCGCTTGAACAGTGTGCAGAAACCAGTGATGCAAGCTGACTGAAGTCAATATTGCAGGATAAACATAAAGTGAAATAGCTTACCCAAATTTCGACAAAGGTCACACAAGGTGTTATTTTCAGGACCTCAAGGTGTCCTAGATTTGCAGAGGGCCCTGTGGACAGAGATTCCATGGCAGCCCAGTATGCTTGGTCCTCAATGGGAACCCTGCATCAATGGAAAACTAATGTCCAATGCAGAAGCCCGACCAAAATTATGGTGAACCCCTCTTGCAACAGGCCATCCCGAAGGATTAGCGTGTAATCTGATCCATCCAGAACCTCACGAACTGAGACGGAGGAGAGCCATCCATCATAAACTTCAAATTTTGGATTGTTGGTTTAAGGGTTCCCACTTCGCCCATTCAGCCAATTATTCCCTTCCCATCCTCAATAACCCCTCCATATAAATCAGATAAAGGGATTAGTGGATTAATTATATTCCGCTATTGTCACCGTACTGCAAGGAATATGAGTGTGAGCGATATACATAAAACCAAGTTGCGAAATCACACAGCTGAGCAAGTAGTAGTATCCCAAGTAGAGAGTACAAAAG